CGCTGAGGAGATCTGCCCTTTTTCTCAGTGTGAGAAGGCTTGCCCTGGCCAGAACATGTCCTGGCCCTGAGAGGGAGCTACTGTGGGTGGGCCTCTCCCTTTCTCTAGCTCCTCCATTGTTTTCACCTTTGGTGCCCCTTCCACATACCTGGGCCCTAGAACGAGTGCATTTAATGGGCCAGTTGCCTCTATACAGGTGCTTAGTTGTTGCATATAAATAGCTGAGATCAGAGGCCTGCAGGTCTCCTGAACCCCCAGCCTTGGAGTAGAGCCCTCAGCCAGCCTTCTCACTCCTCCACTCGGTGGTCAGCTTTGCAAGCATTCTGGCCTCCATTACCCCTTCCCCTTGCTGCCTTTCCCCACTTCCCTTCTTGAAGGAATTGTTGTGCTGCAGCTATGTTGACCACACATTTGGTTCTTCGCTTCATACTCTGCGTTCCATCTCTCTTCCTGCTTTCCTGCTATTTTGAATGCCAGTCCGCAAGGTCTGATCCACTTCCGACGGCCTTTCCCCTTGGACGCCCTGTGCTCTTTCAATGAATCACCACGTTCCTGATGGCTCTTCTGCTTTTCGGCATGTTTCTCATCTGTCACTTCCACCGTTCCTTGGCCATTGCTTTCTCCAAGGTTCTTTTTTCTCCCTTTTGTTGACCTTACCCAGTCTCGTGATGACAGGTGGCATCACTTTGCAGGTACCCCTCACCTTTGCCCTTTTTGTGCCCCCAGCCTTGTTCTCCTCCTCTTCCTCCCCCTCCCATGCTACTCCTCTTCCTCCCCCTCCCCTACTCCTTCTCTTTGTCTCTAGTGGCTTTCTGGCACTCCCACATCCCAGCTCATCACCCCTGGGTGCTATCTTTGACACCCTCCACCCGCTTACAGTTGCCAGAACCTCTCCATTCTGTTTGCTCTGAATTCCCCCAAGCTTTTCTGCCTTTGCCAGGTGCTTGCTGCCCATCTCTTAGGTCACCTGGCCTGCACTTTGCCCTTTCTAAGGTTGTCCTCTTTAGGCAAAGGTTAGAAACTTCTGTTCAGAAATCTCCAATAGCTCTCTCCACGCTCCTGTTTCTACCTTTCTACTTTGTTTCCCAGTGCTCACCTGTTGTTTTGGGACCTTTCTTCTGGCCACACTGGATGCTGTCTGGTTTCTGTGCTTTTCCATGCGCTATGCTTTCACACATTGCTAATTTGTCGGCTTGGAATACTCCTCTCTTCCCCTAACTCTGCAGGACTAAATTTTATTTACTTGCCAAAGCCCAACCCAGAAACCTCCTCCTTCCTTAGTTCCCACAGCTGGAGAGAATCTCCCTGGCCCAAAGACCCCAGAGCACACTACTTTCTGTCTGAGGCACAGAGGACTTTGCCAGGTCAGTTATTTCAGAGTGTACCCTTCCCCATGCCCTGCTAAACTGCAGGTTTTTATTTTTAATTAATTAGTTGTTTATTATAAATATTTAAGGTATACAAGACGACTTTTTTTTTTTTTTTTTTTTTTGAGGTGATCTCACTTTGTTACCCAGGCTGGAGCACAGTGGGGCGATGATTGCTCATTACAACGTCACACTCGTGGATTCAAGTGATCTTCCCACCTCAGACTCCTGAGTAGTTGGGACTACAGGCATGCGCCACCATGCCTCACTCTTTGTTTGTTTTTTTGTTTTAAGAGGTTAGGAGGTTGTGGAAAAAGGCTAAAAAAAAAAAAAAAAAAAAGAGAGACAGAGATCGTGGTCTCACTGTGTTGCCTAGGCTGGTCTCAAACTCCTGGCCTGAAGCAATCCTCCTGCCTCGGCCTCCCAAATCACTGGGATTACAGGCATTAGCCACAGTGCCTGGTCCAGTATGCTGCTTTGATAAACATAGTAGGGGCCGGGCGCGGTGGCTCAAGCCTGTAATCCCAGCACTTTGGGAGGCCGAGGCGGGTGGATCACGAGGTCAGGAGATCGAGACCATCCTGGCTAACATGGTGAAACCCCGTCTCTACTAAAAATACAAAAAACTAGCCGGGCGTGGTGGCGGGCACCTGTGGTCTCAGCTACTTGGGAGGCTGAGGCGGGAGAACGGCGTGAACCCGGGAGGCGGAGCTTGCAGTGAGCCGAGATCATGCCACTGCACTCCAGCCTGGGAGACACAGCGAGACTCCGTCTCAAAAAAAAAAAAAAAAAAAAAGATAAACATAGTAGGTTGTTTACTACAGTCAAGTGAATTAATATATTCATCTTCTCATATAGTTTACCTTTTTAAAAATGATAACACCTGAATCTACTCCGTTGACAAATTTCCAGCATATAAAACAATATTATGAACTATAGTCATCATGCTGTACTTCAGGTCTCTAGACTTATTCATCCTACATAACTATAACTTTGTATCCCCCCATTCTGCCCCTTCCCTGCTCCCATGCCCTAGTCACCACCGTTTTCTGTTTCTTCATTTTGACTTTAGAGTCTACATATACGTAAGATCATGTAGTATTTGTCTTTGTATGTCTGGCTTATTTTATATATCATAATGTCTAGATTTACCCATGTTGTTGCAAATGGCAGGATCTCTTTTTAAAGGCTGAACGGTGTTCCAGCATATATACAATGTATACCACAATTTCTTTATCCAGTTGTCAGTGACACTTAGGTTATTTCAATATTTTGCCTATTGTGAATAATGCTCCAATGAACATGGAAGCGCAGATATCTGTTCGACATACTGATTTTGTTTTCTTTGGGTAGATAACCAGAGTGGGATTGCTGGGTGATATGGTAGTTCTATTTTTAATTTTTTGAGGAACTTCCATACTGTTTTCCATAATGGCTATACCAAGTGTACAGTCCTGCTATCAGTATACAAGGGTTCCCTTTTTTCCACCTTCTTGCCAACATTTATCGCTCTTTTTGATAGCAGCCATTCTAACAGGTATGAGGTGATTTCTCATGATTTTGATTTGTATTTCCCTGATGTTCAGTGATGTTGAGCACCTTTGCATATATCTGTTGGCCATTTTTATTTCTTCTTTGGAGATGTGTCTATTCATGCTTTTTGCCCGTTTAAAAATTTTTTTTTTTTTTTGCTATTGAGTTGTGTGATTTCCTTATATATATTTTAGATATTAATCTCATTGAATATATGATTTGTAAATATTTTCTCCCAATTCATAGACTACCTTTTCTTTTTCATTTTCTTTTTTTTTTTTTTTTTTTGAGACAGGGTCTGTTTGTCACCCAGAGTGAGTGGTGTAGAATGCTGTGGTGTGGTCCCAGCTCACTGCAGCCTCGACCTCCCAGGCTCAGATGATCCTCCCACTTCATATCTTGAGCAGTTGGGACTATAGGTGTGTGCCACCATGCCCCATTAATTTTTGTATATTTTGTTAAAAAAAAAAAAAAAAAGATTTTGCCGTGTTGCCCAGGTGGGTCTTAAACTCCTGGGCTTAAGCTATCTACTCACCTGACCTCGCAAAGTATTGGGAATACAGGCGTGAGCCACCGTGCCTGGCACATAGGCTACCTTTTTATTTTGCTGAGTGTTTCCTTTACTGTACAGAAGCTTTTTAGTTTGATGTAATCCCACTTGCTTATTTTTGCTTTTGTTCCCTGAGCTTTTGGTGTGATATCAAAAAAATCATTGCCAAGGCCCATGTCAAGGAACTTATTCCCTATCTTTTCTTCTAGGAGTTATATACTGTCAGGTCTTACATTTAAGTCTTTAATTCATTTTGAGTTGATTTTTTTTGTATGGTATAAGATAAGGAGCCAGTTTTATTTCCTTGCATGTGAATATCTACTTTCCCCAACACTATTTATTCAAGGAGCTATCCTTTCCCCATGGTGTTTTCTTGGTACCTGTGTCATAAATTAGTTGACTTGTGTATGCTTAGGTTTACTTCTGGACTCTCTTTTCTGTTCTATGTGTCTATTTTTATGCCAGTACTGTGCTGTTTTGATTTCTGTAGCTTGAAATCAGAAAGTATGATGCTTACAACTTTGTTCTTTCTCAAGTTGCTTTGGTTTTTCAGGGTGTTTTGTGATTCCAGACAAATTGTAGAATTTTTTTAAAAATTTCTGTGAAAAATGCCATTGGAATTTTGATAGGGATTGCATTGAATCTGTAGATTGCTTTAGGTAGTATGGACATTTCAACAATATTAATTCTTTTAATATATGAACGTGGTATATCTTTCCATATATTTATTCGTGTCTTCTTTAATGTCTTTCATTAATGTTTTACAGTTTTCAGTATACAGATCTTTTATCTCCTTAAATTTATTCCCAAGCGTTTTATTCTAAAGTGTGTGTGTGTCTGTGTGTGTGGGGGGGGTGGGGGGCGGTTCTTTAGGGCTTTCTGCATATAGGATCATGTCACCTGAAATTGGGATAATTTTCTTTTTTTCTAGTTTGAATGCCTTTTATTTCTTTTTCTTGTCTGATTGCTCTGGTTTAGACTTCTAGTACTGTGTAAACTAGAAGTGGTGAGCAGGATTGTGGTGGGGGTTTGCAGTTTTGTCCTGCAGAGGGGTGCTGGGCTTAAACACCAAATGAGTGGCTGGTAGAAGAGGAACTGGGATGTCTGAGGCCCTTTGGCAGAGGACTGGGGCCAAGAAATGCAGCTATGAGGGGATAACTAGAAGATAGCGTTGGGAACAGACATAGACACAAGGTGCATATAGATCAGATTTTGAGAGGACTCGTTCCAGTACTTGGAACCACTTTTAAAAACACTGTAGTAACTGGCTACCTGTAGGTCATTTCTGTGTTAATTTAAAATGTTTTTCTTTTACATTAAAGTGAATATTCAAGGACTTTTGACTGAATTTGTTGGCCTTCTGCAGGTCACTTTGTATATCGAAAGCAGCTAAATGGCTTAAAGTCTAAACTTTAGACTAGGGTTTATTCAGTTCTTTCAGTTTATTTTTTTTTCTTCAGTGTTCTAGAGGAAATTGCCAATTTAGAACTGGTGATTTTATGTGGAGTAATCGACTAATATTAATAACAATAATTTCTTTGTTTCTACAGAGGTTGCAGAACTTGAAGCTAATTTACCTTGTAAGTATAGCATCCCCAAACGCTAAGTACTGTGAAATAATTGCATGAAGAAAACTTTTTATGTCTTAATAACCTTGTATAGTAAAAAGCCTATTTTTCATGTACGTTAGGAATGAATTTTAATTTTCTGTGAAAAGGTAGGATTTTTTCAAATATCTAATAAGAACAAGGTAGGCCAGGCATGGTGGCTCATGCTGCTAATCTCAGCACCTTGGGAGGTGGAGGCAGCTGGATCACTTGAGGTCAGGAGTTCGAGAACAGCCTGGCCAACATGGTGAAACCCTGTCTCTACTAAAAATACAAAAATTAGCTGAGCATGGTGGTGCATGCCTGTAGTCCCAGCTACTTGGGAGGCTGAGGCACTAGAGTCGCTTGAACCCAAGAGGCCGAGGTTGCAGTGAGCCAAGATTGCGCTGTTGCACTCCAGCCTGGGTGACAGAACGAGACTCTGTCTTAAAAAAAAAAAAGAAAGAAGAGCAAGGTTCTGCCATCTTTTTGAGTGCTTTCTATCTCTCCTTAGCATAGCAGAGGTGCATTTGGTTAGGTTTTTGCCTCTTACACATGCATTCTGTCCCACATCCACTTTGAGTGAAAAAGTATATAAATCAATAATAGTTCCATTTTTGTTAGGGATGATACCAGTTTTTTGGCAAAGTGCTTATTTGTAACTCGTCTGCATGTTTGAGGGGTGGCTGCACTGCCTTGCTGTCAGTGGATGTCCATCTTGCTTGATTGTTTCTGCCCTAGACACACAAGGTCAACATGCAGTCTTCGCTCATGAGCACGGTACGTTTGGAAAGCCCATTTATCAGGCAGTTCACTTTTGTAATATATGTCATATTTTTTTTTCCCTATCATTAATCTTCTTCCAAACCCTTGATTATTTCAAAAGATCATTAAAGCCTGAAAGATTTGATCATTTTAGTATTTTTTTAATTACAACTTTTTGTCATCATACTTCCTTTAAAATTCTGAGGCTGAGGATGTCTGTGGATGATGGTGAAGCATTTTATAAGTGGGTCTGCTGGTTTGGGTGAGTGCTAGAGAGAACTTAGGGTTGAATGTAGAGGTATCTCTGACATGGGGCAGGGCAGAGCCCATTCCAGTCTCCATCTGAAGTTGGAAAGATAATGGTGGGTTGCAACCTCTACATGGTTGTGAAATCAGTTTGAGAGGGTAAGTATGTAATGTTTCTTAAAAAAGTATTATTATTTTCAAGACAGAGTCTCACTCGGTCACCCAGGCTGGAGTCTGCTTCCTAGGTTCAAGCAATTCTTGTGTCTCAGCCTCCCGAGTAGCTGGGACCACAGGCACGTACCACCATGCCAGGCTAATTTTTGTATTTTTAGCACAGATGGGTTTTTGCCATGTTGGGCAGGCTGGTCTCAAACTCCTGGGCTCAAGTGATCTGCCTGCCTCGGCCTCCCAAAGTGCTGGGATTATAGGCGTGAGCCACCGCTCCCAGCCAAGAGATTATTTTCAACATGAAATTTATGGGTAGGTATAGTGAGTTGTGGTATAAAATATGTTTCTTACTATGGATCTCAGTTGAAGGTGTTTTGAAAGACATTGGATTGCTTGACCTCAAAGTTTTCTTCAACTCAGAAATGAGGCAATATCTTGAGATTCTGTTAAAAGGTTATCTTTTTGGCTGGGTGCAATGGCTCACGCCTGTATTCCTAGCACTTTGAGAGGCTGAAATGAGTGGATCATTTGAGGTCAGGAGTTTGAGACCAGGTTGGCCAACATGATGAAACCCTGTCTCTACTAAAAGTACAAATTTAGCTGGTTGTGGTGGTGTGCACCTGTAATCCCAGCTGCTTGGGAGGCTGAGGCAAGAGAATTGCTTGAACCCAGGAGGTGGAGGTTGCAGTGAGCTGAGATTACGCCACTGCACTCCAGCCTGGGCAACGGAGTGAGACTGTCTCAAAAAAAAAAAAACAAAAACCACAAAACACAAAAAGATTATCTTTCTACCCACTGAAATGTTTACAGATGAAGTGGTTTGCTTTAAAATGCTACAGGAAGACAAACAAGTAACTGTGGTGGGGCAGGATAGACAAGCAAGATTGGCAGAATGTTGAAGCTGGGGGATGGGTTCATTATACTCTTCTCTTTTATTAGGACATTTGCCTCATAAAAATAAAATAACTCCTCTGCTTTCCACTCCCATCTTATCTTCCCACAGACCCCCAGCTTGAGCCTGTATGTATATGTAAACTTTTTTTTTTTGTTTTTTTTATAGACAGGATCTCTCTTTGTTGCCCAAGTTGGTGTACAATGGCATGAGTGTGGCTCACTGCAGCCTCAACCTCCTGGGCTCAAGTGATCTTCCCACCTCAGCCTCCTGAGCAGCTGAGACCTCAGACCTCAAGTGCATGCTACTACACCTAGCTAATTTTTTAAAATTATTATTATTTTTTTTGTAGAGATGAAGTCTCCTGGGTTGCCCAGGCTGATCTCAAACTCCTGGGCTCAAGTGATCCTCCCACCTTGGCCTCCCAAAGTGCTGAGATTACAGGCACGAGCCACTGTGCATGGCCAACACATACAGACATTTAATCAAAATCACAGAAAAGGTCTCACTTATAAATGGTTCATTCATCCTTGATATGTATCTTACAGAGATTGTTGATTTTTAACCCATAGAGTGTACTTTAAAAACAAGAAAATTTATGACTGGCTTTCAGTCATAAATTGTAACCGCATACCTTAGGTTTGAAAGAACCATGGCACATCTTCCTAGCCCTATGGCTATGGTGTCAGATAAAAAGACAGCATGTTCTCTGCCTCTTCTTTTGTTCTTTCTCCCTACCTTCTCTCCTAATCAAAGAGGGGGGAAATTATATCATTTTAAAAGCCATGCTTTCCAAAAGTATGTCTCATTATTCTAAAGAGAAAACAAGAAGCCACCAATGCATAGCCCTTCACTATCTGTTTAATTATCTTTCTAACATATTTACAAAGGCTAACAAAATAACTTGCCTTGTATCAGTACCACTTAGTAACTATTCATAACTAGTTTAGAGCTCTGTACATGCAAGTTTGTAGAGGTTTCTCTGCAAAAAGATTTAAAATGTTTCTTCCAGATAGACTGAAATATTATTAGAGGCTTAGATAGTGCATGCCTACATGTAGATAAAAAGCTTAATTCTAGTGAATTGAACTAGAACAAAAACCTGACTGTTAACATTTTTTTTTTAAACTTAACCTTTCTTTTCTCTCTTTTTTTTTTTGAGATGGAGTCTTGCTCTGTCACCCAGGCTGGAATGCAGTGGTGCGATCTCGACTCACTGCGACCTCCACTTCCTGGATTCAAGTGACTCTCCTGCCTCAGCCTCCTGAGTAGCTGGGATTAGAGATGCCTGCTACCACGCCTAGCCAATTTTTGTATTTTTAGTGGAGACGGGGTTTTGCCAGAATTACAGGCATGAGCCACTGCACCTGGCATAGTTTTATTGCTTTTTAATCCACTTTGATAATTTTTTTTTTTTTT